TCAGTAAGTGTAATAGAAAATCCCTCCCCTCATGAAGTTATATTCTGATGGGGAGCACAGACAAATGAGCAAAATACATGTTGGACAGTAGTAAATGCTAGGAGAAAAATGAACTCAGAAAGAAAACGGTTAAACAATGAGTGTACCAGTGCGATAACACTAAGGAATATGAAAGCTGGCCTATATTGGCTTCTGTTAACTGGCAAATTTAACTGAAAATAAACACATTACTGAAAAATTAAGTGTCTCATGACACTGGCCTATTTCACCCATTTTGATAGGGTTATTTTGTTGGTTTTTTTTTAAGGAGGAAAATTACATTTTGCTGTTATAAATTCAGAGAGGTTTGGGCCAGGCATGGTGGCTCACACCTGTAACCCCAGCACTTTGGGAAGCTGAGGTGGGTGGATCACAGGGTCAGGAGTTGGAGACCATCCTGGCTAACACAGAGAAACCCTGTCTCTACAAAAATACAAAAAATTAGCCAGTTGTGGGGCACGTGCCTATAGTCATAGGTACTCAGGAAGCTGAGGCAGAAGAATCGCTTGAACCCAGGAGGCAGAGGTTGCAACGAGCCGAGATCACACCACTGCACTCCAGCCTGGGCGACAGAGTGTCTCTGTCTCAATCAATCAATCAATCGATCAATCAGTAGAGGTTTTCTTTCATCTCTTATTACCTTGATCCTAATATGGAATTCTTAACCCAGAATCTGAGCCTTTCTCACCATCTTCACTTCACTGCTATTACCCCAGTCCAAACCATTCTTTCATCTTCTGTTTTCACCCTTGCCCCTACTACCAACAGTATTCTCTACTCAGGTGCCACAGTTAGATCAGGCCACTTGTTTGACTAAAACTCCCCAGACAGCTTCCTATCTTGTGCAAGGAAAAAGCCAAAATCCTTTCCTTGGCCTACAAAACTCTACACATTCTGTCCCTCATCCCATCTAAACTCTGGAACCTCATTTCCTGCTACTCTCCCTCACTCACACCAGCCTCCTCCTCACTGGTCTTGAACATGTCCCCCATCCCACCTCAGGCCTCTGCATTTGCCATTTCCTCTGCTTGGATGACTCTTACACTAGATATCTACATGGCTCACTCCCTCACATTCTGTAGGTCTTGACTCAAAGGTCACCTTCTTGCTGGGGCTCTCCTCCGGCACATGATTGAGATTGCAGACCATCCCCAAACCCTAGATACAAGCATGAAGGCATGCACGATTCCTACTCCTCCTCCCTAGTTTATTTTTCTCCTGGCACTTATCACTATTTTTTTCTTTCTGTTTTTGAGACCGGATCTGGCTCTCTCACCCAGGCTGGAGTGCAGTGGCTCCATCTCAGCTCAATGCAACCTCCACCATCTGGGCTCAAGCAATCCTCCCACTTCAGCCTCCTGAGTAGCTGGTACCACAGGCGTGCACCACCATGCCTGGTTATTTTTTTTATATTTTTAAGTAGAGATGGAGTTTCACCATATTGGTCAAGTTGGTCTTGAATTCCTGGGCTCAAGTGATCTGCATGTCTCCCAAAATGCTGGGATTACACACATGAATCATCACACCCTGCCCGTTTATCACTCTCTAACACACCACATGTTGTTACTCATTTGTTTCTCATCTAGACTGTAACTTCATGAAAGGAGGAAATTGTGTGGTTTATTCACTTCCATATCCCTAGTACCTAAGAGAGTATCTGGCACATAGTGGGCACTTTAACAGTATTTGTTGACTGAATAGGGAGTTTTGAAAGCAGAGTAGGTTGAGTAAGAGGAATGCAACTTCCATGGCATCTTGCAAGGCCCCCTTGCCTTTCCACCACCACCACCACCAAGACTGAGACAAAAACAATTATAGACTCCCATAAACAGTCTGTTTTATTTAAAATACTGATTGCCTCCTTTGTTTAAGAAATTCATCTGTCTCCTTCAGCACCCAGTATGGGCCCTTGCAGATGACACTCCAATATATGTAGATTAATTTTGATTTAAAAAAATATAGGCCAGATGCAGTGGCTTACACCTGTAATCCCAGCACTTTGGGAGGCCGAGGCAGACCGATTGCTTACTTAAGCCTAGAACTTCGAGAGCAGCCTGGGCAACATGTGAAACCCTGTCTCTACAAAAAATACAAAAATTAGCCAGGCACGGTGGCATGCATGTGTAGTCCCAGCTACTCAGGAGGCTGAGGTGGGAGGACTGCCTGAGCCGGGAGATCGAGGTTACAGTGAGCTGTGAGCTATGATCACTCCACTGCACTCCAGCCTGGGTGACAGAGTGATACCCTGCCTCGAAAACAGAAAAAAAGTTGCTTTTCTATATACATCAGCAATGCCTTTGAAATTTTGATTGAAAAAATAATGTATAATAGCAGTAACAAACCAATTAACATAATTATTCTCATATCCATTAATTTTGAGACAGTCTTGCTCTGTTGGCCAAGGTGAAATGCAATGGCACAATCTCAGCTCACTGCAACCGCCAGCTCCCAGGTTCAAGTGATTCTCGTGCCCCAGCCTCCTAAATAACTCAGCTTGGATTACGGGTGTGTACCACCACATCCAGCTAATTTTTGTATTTTTATTAGAGATGGGGTTTTACCATGTTGGCCAGACTGGCCTCGAACTCTTGACCTCAAGTGATCCGCCTGCCTCAGCCTCTCAAAGTGCTGGGATTACAGGCATGAGCCACCGTGCCCGGCCCTTTTAGTTTTTTTAAAGAATATGAAGAGACAGACCAAAACTGTACACAAACACCCAAAAGTGTAAAAGGAGAGTTGCCTCCTTCTGTTTCAGCAGGAATAGAAATGAGCAGTACACTCACACAGAGGGAGAAATGACAGTTCCACAGGTCATTCAGAACCACTGCTATATGCCAAGCACTGTGGATTGTAAATACTCTAAAGTGAATGAATTTATTAATTTAAAATTGTATTAGATGTAATTTCTACATAACACATTTTCTTTCAGTAGACAGGTGTTCCCACAAATCACTCAAACTTTAGTTTTTCTCTCTCATTGTTCAAACGTATTTATATATTACTTTCTTTATACGTCGTCATAATCATAATAACAAAGCATTTCTGCATCCATTGTCTGACAGAATTATCTTGTGCATCTTAGGACAGGTGTAGAGTACAGGCTGAGAATGTGGACTCTAGACAGATCGGAAGAACACTTACCAGGCATGGCCTTGGGCAAGAAACTTTGGTATCCACAGCTGAAAAATAAAAATAAAAACAGTACCTAATTCATGGGGTTGTTATGAGAGGATTAAGTGAATTCTCATGTGCCAGGTCCTTATCTAAGGACCTGGCACAAGTAAACGCTATGTAAGTGTTAGATAAATTTCTTATTGTATCCATGAAGACACGAAGACTTAGAAAGCTCTAATTTTTCTCAAAATGACTCTACCAGCAGTGGTAGACAAGAACTGAAACCGTATCTTTTTCTCCTCAAAGCAGGGTTCTTTGTATTCCACATCTAGTGGAAAAGCAGTAAATACCAAACTAAATAGCATGGTTGGGAATCAGACATGGATATGCAGGAATGATAATAAAATTTCAGAGTTAAAGGGGACTTACAAAATCACCAACCTAATCCTTTTTCCATTCAAGAACTCTATCCTCCCTACCCATCTCCTTAAGGAATTGAGGATCCTCTGTTCGTGTAGCCTCTGAACAGCTCCAGCAACAGAAGACTCACTGTCTCAGGAGGTAACTCATTTCATCTTCTGAGGATTAAAACACTCTTCTTGTCCCCTAGTAACTAACACATTATTTCTAGTTCTGTTTTAAAAGACTAAGTCTGACTGATCCCAGGACTTTCTGTTTTTTGGTTTTTGTTTTTTTTTTTTGAGACAGAGTTTCTTGCTCGTTACCCAGGCTGGAGTGCAGTGGCACAATCTCAGCTCACCCCAACCTCCAACTCCTGGGTTCAAGCAATTCTCCTGCCTCAGCCTCCCGAGTAGTGGGACAACAGGTGCGCACCACCACCCCCAGCTAATTTTTGTATTTTTAGTAGAGATGGGGTTTCACCATGTTGACCAGGATGGTCTTGATCTCTTGACCTAGTGATCCACCCGCCTCGGCCTCCCAAAGTGCTGGGATTATAAACATGAGCCACCGCGCCCAGTGAGGACTTTCTGTTTAATGTTTCACTTCATTTACTTCTACACATTATTCTAAATTTGATTTTAAAATAGCAAAATTACTGTATGAGAAAACAGGTGGCACCATTCGAAATGCCTCAGAAGGAAATGCAACAAGATTCCAATCTCTTTCAGTATACATAGTCAATCAATAACATCTGAGATAATATTTCAAAACTCATTGCTGTTCTTGTAAAGAATCCATATGCTCTCCAATTAAAGCATTCTGGGGTTTTTTTTTTTTTGAGATGGAGTCTTGCTCCGTTGCAGGAGAGCAATGAGATAGTCTCCGCTCACTGCAACCTCCACCTCCTGAGTTCAAGCGATTCCCCTGCCTCAGCCTCCCAAGTATTTGGGACTTCAGGTGTGCCACCACGCCCTGCTAATTTTTTTGTATTTTAATAGAGATGGTGTTTCACCATGTTGGCCAGGATGGTCTTGATCTCCTTACCTTGTGATCTGCCCACCTTAGCCTCCCAAAGTGCTGGGATTACAGGCGTGAGCCACTGTGCCCGGCCACGTGTTCTGTTTTTTTAAAAGCTATTAAAAACAAAGGCAAGTTGTCTTTTTAATTTTGAAATCATCACATATTTATTAAACATTGAGCCTTTATTATATGATAAGTGCTGGAAAGAAAACTTCGTAACACAAGGTTCTCATCCAGTTGTGGACAGAAGCAGTCTTTTTCAGTACGGCTTGAATGGACTCTGTAAATAGATTGAGCACTGTTAGGTTTTGTCGGCAGGGAATGTTGCTAGAATTTCAACACTGCCAAGGCAACACTGGCAAGTGACTTCGACACCGTCAAGGCGAAAGTATCTGTTGAGTGAAAACAAGACTGTTGATTTTGAAATGTGATCTAAAATTAAGTGACACTATTTAGATTTTTATTCAAACTTTCAAATTCTTGCTTCCTTCATTTTATAAATTTAGATATTTGAAAACATAAGAAACTAAAATTTTGGTTGTCATCTCATAGGAAGGGTCTTGATACAGTGTGTAAAAAAGGTAACAAAGGCATCTATTTTCATCTAGTTCTTAAACATCTACATCTTTTGAAATAGAAATATCCACTTTAAGTGGAGTTTTACATTTATATCTATTTGCTAGAGTGTTAATTTTTTATTTTGTATATTTTTATTCTTCCTTTAGGGCTTGAGTAGACAACTTTTTAAGTCTGATTTTAAATTATGTACTAATATGAAAATAGAGTAAAATGAATCACTTTGTGGTCAATAAATTCAATGTTCTGTTTACAGACAGATTGTTGTAAAATTACTGATATATTCTCACAGAAGCAGTAAAGGTTATGTCAAATAACGACGTAAAAAATTATACTACGTAGTGTTAATGATGTTACCTTAACATGCCAGCTTCAGGGCCTGCATAATTGTTTCTGCTAACCCATACATTTCTGAGTAACAACAAAATTATTGTGATTTTTCTTACTAAATAATTCATACATTACAAAGCATGTATGTAACAAGGTCCATGAATCACTAAAGCATATAATGATCATCTATCCAATGACATATCTCTTTTCATAAGATGAATTCAAATAGATTTATGTATTTAGGTTAACTAAAAAATACTGAGTTTATAAGATTCATAATTCTATCAACAACAACAAAAAAAACTTCCAATCTTCTTTAAGTTGTTTCCATGATTTGCTTTTAAAACGGAAACGTTTTGTTTATCAAAATCCTCGTTTAAGCTACTTTTCATGAAGTTTTACAGCTTTTAAATTGATGCTGTGAATATCAGCAAAGATAAATTAATAATATAATGGAGTAGTACAACGTTCATAAACTGTGTTTAAAATGATCTAAGTGCCACTAAAATGGCCATAAGCAATACTACACAAAACCGCTTACTAGTAGTGGCTGATATTCTTTATACAGCAACCAGGATCTAAGGAACGATGATTTTCATGTACTAACACTTCACATGCCTTACACTGGTCTTATCTTAAGTAATCTCGAACCAAATGTATCATTTTAATAATGGTGCTAAAAACGATCCCAGTGAAATTTCATCTACTTAATCAAAACTAGGTTTCGTAAATTTTTTTAAATTCTGAGACGGCAACATGGAAAATGATGTCAACATGCTTTAACTATTTTAATCACTAACTTTTTTTAACTGTATGCAGTCATGTTTTATCATACTAACATTGAATCCTTTGCTAATTTTTAAAAATTGTTTTAATTGTGGTAAAGTTCACATAACATAATACTTACCATCTTAACCTTTTTTTTTCTTTTTAGATACAAGGTCTTGCTGTGTTGCCCAGGCTGGAGTGCAGTGGCTGTTAACAGGCACGATCATGCCACACTGTAGCCTTTGAACTCTTGGGCACAAATGATCCTCCTGCCCCAACCTCCCATTAACTGTACCATTCAGTTGTTGTAAGTATATTTATGTTACTCTACAACCAACAACACCGTCCATCTACAGAATGCTTTTCATATTGTAGAACCGAAACTCTGTACCCATTAAACACCAATTGTGCATTGTCCTCTTCTCCTCTTTAATGATTTTAACAGCCTTATTAAGATATGATTCCCAGCCAGGCGCGGTGGCTCACACCTGTAATCCCAGCACTTTGGGAGGTCGAGGTTGGTGGATCATGAAGTCAAGAGATCAAGACCATCCTGGCCAACATAGTGAAACCCTGTCTCTACTAAAATTACAAAAATGAGCTGGGCGTGGTGGTGCACGCCTGTAGTCCCAGCTACTCAAGAGATGGAGGCAGGAGAATCACATGAAGGCAAGAGAATCGCTTGAATCCAGGGGATGGAGGTTGCAGTGAGCTGAGATTGCACCACTGCACTCCAGCCTGGCAACAGAACAAGACTCCATCTCAAAAAAAAAAAAAAGACATAATTTCCATGCCCTACACTTTTTTCATTTAGAGTGTACAATTCAGTGGTTTGCATATACTCACAGAATTGGGCAACCATACCACAATCAATTTTAGAACAGTCTCATCAGCACCAAAAGAAACCCCAGACCCCTTAGTGGTAACCCCCATTTCTCCCCAATCTCTCCAGCCCTAGGCAACCACAAATCTACTCTCTCTCTATAGATTTGCCTGTTCTGAACATTTCATATAAATGGAATTCAATGAAATCTTTTATGACTGGCATCTTTCGTTTAGTGTAATATCTTTAAGCTTCATCATTGCTATACCATGGGTCAGTATTTCATTCATTTTTTGAATAATATTCCATTGTGTGACTACGCTACATGATACCTATTCATCAGTTGATGGATATTTTTGTTTCTACTCTTTTGCTAGTATGAATAATGCTGATATGAACAATTGTGTACAAGTTTTTGTGTGGACATATATTTTCAGTTCTCTAGGAGCAGAATTGCTGGGTTATATAGTAATTCCATGTTTAATATTTTGAGCAACTGCCAAACTTTTCCAAAGCAGCTGCACCAATATACATTTCCCCAGCAATGCATGAGGTTTACTTCCCCACATTCCTACCCACACTTACCGTCTTGTTCATTACAGCCATCCTAGTAGATATGAAGTGATAGCTCACTGTGGGCTTTTCATTTTCCTAATGATTAGCTGAACATCTTTTCATGTGCTCATTAGCCATTTATATATCATCTTGGAGAAATGTGTGTTCAAATCAAATTTTCAATTGGGTTGTTGAGTTTTAAGACTTATTTATATATTCTAGATATAAGCCCCTTATCAGGTATTATGATTTGTACATATTTTCTCCCATTCTGTGGGTTGCCTTTCATTTTCTTGATAGAGACCTTTGGAGCACAAAAATTTTACATTTTGATGAAGTCAAATTTGTCTATTTTTTTCTTTTGTCATCTGCCTTTATTTTAACCTTTTCCATAATATTAAACGTTCGTGCAAAAGTAATTGTGGTTTTTGCCTTTTTTTCTAATGGCCAAGCTTGTGTTCATGGAAACAGTTTTAGCTACATTTTCATTAAAAGAAGAAAAAATTCAACATCTGTCTCCAGTTTATATTAGAAAACTACTCTGTGGACTGTGGTCACTACTAACAACACTTCTTACTGCCGGGAAAGCCCTGGTGAAACATTTGTCAAGCACATAAATGATATGAAAGCGAAATATAGTAATTAAGATTTGTGTTCTATTGATTGTGTAGCTTAAGTAATTTTTCATTACTAACATAAGATTTAAGAAGTATAAGTAGTTAAAGATTCTGACTTGGCGCTGGTCATTAGCATGTAATTGAACTAGTAAAAAAGATCAGTTAAGGCTGTGTTGATTACCACCTTATCTTTGAAAGGCAATTAAAGACCTCAATCATTGCAACAAGATTTGATTGTGCAGGCTTTATCGGACATTGATCTTTCAGCAAAGTGCAGTTACATTTTCCATTAATTTACAGTAACACAGCTTAACTCTGATACCCTAGACTGTTGACCCAGGTGAGATGTAATGCTAAGTACTTGTTTAGGTTAAGATGCCCCCTAACATCATTATTGTCTGAATAGTAAGCGCTGAAAAACAGTAGATACTTAATCCACTAGCCTTAGGATAAGGTTCTGTTATCTGCATTAGCTTTTCAGTGAAGTGAAACCAAGATCTTTGCCTTTTAGGTCATCCCACTTATTCAAACATCATTCTTTAACAGAGTTAAAAGATATTTCATGAACTATAGATGTTCTGTGCTTACAGTTTGGGGAGAATATAAATATAAATGACCTGAAGTAAAATGTACTTAAAAAAATACATATGGTTTTTAATAATTAAAAATGTTCTGGCTAGGCACGGTGGCTCACACCTGTAATCCCAGCACATTGCGGGGCCGAGGTGGGCGAATCACCTGAGGTCAGGAGTTTGAGACCAGCCTGACCAATATGGTGAAACCCTGTCTGTACTAAAAATACAAAATTAGCCAGGCATGGTGGCGCATGCCTGTAATCTCAGTTACTCAGGAGGCTGAGACAGGAGAATTGCTTGAACCCAGGAGGTGGAGGTCGCAGTAAGCCGAGATCGCACCATTGCACTCCAGCCTGGGCAACAAGAGTGAAACTCCTTCTCAAAAAAAGTTTCAATTTTTGTGGAAGTGAACATTAGAAAAATAATAATGCCCAAGTATGTGTGGTGAAGTAAACTGTAACTGTTTGAACAATCTGGCATTTTAGGACATCAGCACTAAGAAAATAGAGATTTTTATATTAACAGCCTCTCTCATGCTCCCGAATAGTTTACTGCATCTTTATAGTGGTTCACAACTTACATAGGAACTAAGAATTTTGCCTAGAAATTTATTCCAATACGGATAGTTCATTTGCATAGAAATAACAATAGAAGACATGCAAGGGTTTGTACTAAAAGTACACCTTTATTAAAACAGTTTTGGTTGGATTATTTTAAAGACAAAATCCTATCAAAGAAATATGACAGAAAAGCTAAATCAGTGGTTTCATCAATTAAGAAAACTCCTGATACGCAGAAGGGCAGGGCCTGTTTAGCTCCTCACGTGCCACTTCAGGGTTAGTGGGTGTGTGCCTTCAAGGCACCTCCTTCTCTCCCCATCGCCTTATTTTTGAAATCCCTTTATTAATGAAGTCCTTTAAGTATAAATGTAAATAATGGGGGAGAAGAATGTGGATTATAAAAATAGAGCTTTTGCAAAGACAAAAGTAAAATTGATGTACATTTTCAGGTAGAAAGGTCTTGTTTCATTCTCAGATTACAGGTGGAAAAACTAAGACACAAAGGAGGAGAGTTATTAGCCTGAGGTCAGAAAGTAAAAGAGCGCTGATGCTAAAAATAGACTCAGTCACCTGACTTACACATTTACCCTTTCTCCCTTTTAGGCTTTAATGCTTTGGTGTAATATGCAGCTTTAAAGAAAAAACTTAAACCATTGCTGTTCAATGGGAAGTACTGTTTTCAGACTAAAAGTTTACAAGACTGAATAAATCTAATGAATGATATTTAAGTTTTTACACCATGCCTTTCCCCATTGTTGAGTTCATCCTTCACCATCATCAACTCCATCAGATCAAGAGGTCTACTGATTTTCATGTAATACAAGAAAATATTACATTTGCTTAATTGTTACACGGTGAGCACATAAGACAAGAAATCAAGGCTCTATTTAATGCTGCAAGCAGCAGAGAATTGCAGAGATCAATAGGGTAGTTTGTCAAAGATGTTCTCCAAGGAGACTTACCTATCACTATATGGACAAGAAGTCACACTGACTATAGCTATTGAAAAACAGGTAAGCAGAGTCAGCAGTACAAATTATCAGAAATCAAACAGGCCAGTGTGAAAAGAGGTGCAACCCTACTGAAAAGCTGTATTTATAGCATGGTAATTAAAAACCATTTTATCAGCCTTGTGTTGGGACCAAACCTTTACAGTCAGTATTGACAAGTCCAGCAGCAATGAATGAGCAGTATTTGACTTAAAACTTATGAGCTATAGTTATTTAACATTGCCCATTACAAAGGAAATCAGTTCTAGCCTTTCCTGCAAAATGCTAATAGTCAGTTGTTTTATTATTAATGAAGCTTAATGTAACACTATCTCCTTTGTGTAAGCTATTCATTTAACTAGTGTCAAGTATATTCTTCTGGACTAAATATACTGGCATAAGTACTTCTTTGATTAAAGTGTTATTTAGAATTGCTTTTAGACAAGTGAACATTACGTATACTTGAAGAACAGTTCACTCTGTAGCTCATTTAAAATGCGCACCTTTAACGAAGCTAGACTGCATTACTCCACGATTCTGGTGTCTGCACCTCAATGGCTCTCACTCACTTTCTCTACTGACATGGCAGGAGTAAGCATCCAAATGTTGAACTTTATAAAATGTTCTGCAACCAAAAAATGTGGCAGAGTATCAGTAACACATTAACAAAAAATGATACATAATGTATGTTTGTAATTACGGGGAAGATCATAAATCTTAAACACCCATTGGTTTAGAAATTAAATAGTTCTACTTAGTTCTCCCTGAATTACTCCAAATTTCTGAAATTTACCATTCATCTGGGTATATTGTGACTGCCCCAAGGATAAGTTTTTTAAATGACTTGGCTTTCAAAAATGCAATTAATAAAATTGAAATGCAAAAGTGCCATTAGGTCTTTAACATTTCAGCCCACTCCCTATTGCCAATAAATCCATGGATATGTACCATTTCAATTAATTGCTTTTATAAACAGTTACCAAATTTATTTTTCTGCTTCTTTCTAGAAGACCTTAATTGTTCTGACAGCTTTATAGAAAGCTGTTTTAACTTTTAGTAAGTCTTAATTTCATTCACCTTGCTCACTTACGTTAACCAGTTATTCTTACATTTTAAAAATGATATGGTTTTGGATTCCAGCAACAAGAAGTTTCAACATTATCCTCCAACCTCTCCTCCAGGTAAATGGCACAAGGCCTTCAAAACATTTCTACTACAGTCTTGGCAGCTGAATGGTTGAGCCTTGAGATTACAGATTCTCATCAGTTGTGGATTTGCCAATGATATGATATTATCTCCATCACCTACCCATATTGTCTTCTACTTGGTTTTCCATTGTTTTATAAAAGATTTTCCCACTCCTCTTTTGTGTGGGTATCTATATTTTCTCTTCAGAGTTGATTTAAATTGTTAATACCTAACTAATCTATTACACTGTAATCATTTTTTATCTGTAGGTTAACCTAGTTCTAGGGAGAAAATAGTGTGAAGCTTCATGTGTTTGTAGCTCCCATTAGCTAAACAGAGAATGTAATATATAACAATGTACAAAATGCTTCACCTCTTGAGGGCAGTGATTTATCTTAAAGAAGCAGATACCGTAGAAAGAAAAAAGTATTTGCAAAAGTTTTATTTTAAAGGATCAAAAATAAATACTGCATATACGCACAGAGAAAATCCACTGATATTTATGTTCTTGGATGGACACTTTTAATACATGGCACCTTCATCTTCCTTATTGAGAAAATAAACGGTTATGGGCCCATAACTGGTATGCACAGTCTCTGTGACTCTGGCAAATAACCAGGAGCCAAGTCCATATAATAAAGTTGGAATACCTAGAAAACAAACGAATATGTATAAATATCAATGCCTATTAATCATCCAAGTTACTAATCACATATAACACTCTTGAGCAATGCTAACAAATTATAATGTGATAAAATATAAAAATATTACTCAACATTGATTATTTAAGGGCTCAATTTCATCAACATGGAATATGGTGGCAATTACGTGCGTCTAGAGGTTTTCATACTACAGACAAGGTGGGTATACATTTTAATTCAACTATTTCATTAAGTCATTACCCTCAAATAATCATGAATTCTATATTTTCATAAATAAGCAAATGGAGAAGAATATTCATTAATTTAGTTGAAGATGCTCCTGATTATTAGCCTTGAGCTAAAATTACTAGGTTAACATTACTGTTTTTTTTTTTTTTCTTTTTTCGATCGGAGTCTCACTTTGTTGCCAGGCTGGAGTGCAGTGGTACAATCTTGGCTCATTGCAACCTCTGCCTCCGAGGTTCAAGCAATTCTCCTGCCTCCGCCTCCAAGTAGCTAGGACTACAGGCATGCCCTACCACAACCAGCTAATTTTTGTCCTTTTTTAGTAGACAGGGTTTCACCATGTTGGCCAGGATGGTCTCGATTTCTTGACCTCGTTATCCACCCACTTCGGCCTCCCAAAGTGTTGGGATTATAGGTGTGAGACACTGCGCCCGCCTAACATTAATGTTAAGTTAGTAGCAAAAAAACTGGCTGAAGTAATTTTTGCACAACTTAAAAGAAACTGGGTCAAAAAGCTGTCTTTAAAACCTAAGGCAAAACCTAACTCTAAGGAAGATTTCACTACAACAGGCAAGAGAAAGAAAAACTATTATCAGCATTTTTTTTTCAATTGATCTGAAAACAACCTCGTTTCAACCAATTTGAAATTGGAATAGTAGACTTCAACATGTGTTTCTTCTTTGGAATTGGTAAAATGGTGCTGCTTTGGGATGAGTTGCCATTTGTGATTCATGAAACTAAACACAGGATCCAGAGATACATATTAAGCACTCATATGCATATAAGTCCGTGTTGGACACAAAACAAACTTTTGCTTTTCCTATCTTTAAGGTACTTAGTTAAAATCAATGACTAATATGTTAAAACATATGTAATAAAACCACAGGCGCATGAATCAATTAACAAATATTGTATGCTCTGCACAAGCATTAATTTGATGCTCATATGTGGGAAATGGGCAGAAAGTGACATTTAAAAAGGACGGCTATACATTTGGAAAGTCACTTTCTAGTAATAAAGAAAGTCACACAAGCTCTGGACTAATCATATTGCTAAATTTTTGTCTTATTTTTCTGCAAGAATATATTTGCCATGTTAAGCTCTGAGTGTGTCTGCTGAACTACGTTGTGCTTACTCCCTGAAGCTGCATTCCAGCCACTGTGATGCCAGAGATTAATCAGAAGAAGCATCACATCACTAGCTGGTAATGAGAAGGGAAAAAAATGCCCATTCAGGCTGGCAGCTCTCTATTTTTAGGAATATACTGGGTCACAGTTTGTCACCATCACAGGGTTCCCTGGAACTCCCATGAAACCTTTTATTGTGTATCACCTTCTTTGCCCTGATAATGTCCAAAGAATCTCTAAATACCTCAGGGGAATGTCACCAGAAAATCCACAAAACTAGAATAAAGCGACTTATAAATCACTTCACCACAAAGGAAAAAAAAAAGGCAAATGGCACAGGGGTGGGAGGAGAAAAAGGAGAGTATGAACAAGACAGGGAGAAATGAGAGAGAAGTAGAGGGAGTAGTTGAAATAAAAAAATAGGCTGGGTGTGGTGGCTCACACCTGTAATCCTAGCACTTTGGGAGGCCGAGGTAGGTGGATCACCTAAGATTGGGAGTTCAAGACCAGCCTGACCAACATGGAAAAACCCCGCCTCTCCTAAAAATACAAAATTAGCCAGGTGTGGTGGTGCATGCCTGTAGTCCCAGCTACTTGGGAGGCTGAGGCAGGAGTATCGCTTGAACCCGGGAGACAGAGGTTGCGGTGAGGCAAGATCGCACCACTGTACTCCAGCGTGGGCAACAAGAGCAAAACTCCATCTCAAAAAAAAAAGTAAAAAGAAAGAAAAAATAAATTTAAAATGCAGTATCACAACTTCAGAAGCTGAAAATCAATGGAGTGAGAAAGAAAAAAAAATAGGCTCTAGAAGCAATTACTAATTTTCTAAACATACTGAGCTTAAAATATATAAAACATGCCTCTTAAACCAAGGCTAGGGATATAAATTTAAGGAATACCTGGTGATACTGAGAATTTTGTTTTATAGTATTTATCATAGTTTTCACTTCAAATACTGATACTTTAAAAAATTCATACTTTTGAAAAATCACAAATACAGAAATAAATGGCCAATATGTTTCAGCTAAGATGAAGGGCGGATCAAAGAGTACTAGCTTAATAACTATATTATGTCTAATTAAAAAAAAGGAACCGTTAGCAGTAATTCTATTTGACAGGAGATGGAGTTATGATATGAGTCGGAAACTCTGTATTTTTTTTCCCTTCCTGTCTGTTTATTTAATGTAGTCAGACTGATATCCAAAATGGGAAATTTGCCACCTATATAACCTATATTTTACAAAATCTTCTTTGTAGCACATATGATTTAAAGTCTATGATTCTATGAAAAATTAAATTTATATCTGAAACATGTAACATCAAGAGATCCTGAAAATCAGTTCTTTGCATAATCACTTTGAGTCAGCTGAACAGTAGGTAAACCACTGTCAAATTAAGCACTTTAAAAAATTAGAATTCCTCAGTAAATCCCATTCATTCCAATGGTAAGTTGCTTTTCTTAAATCTCAATCTACTTCTCAGCAGGATACCTAGACTGGTAAACCATTAGTAAAATACCAGCTTCCATTGAAGGGAAGGCAGAGGAGAAAAGGAGTAAATGGGTAAACAGAAATCTTTATTATTTACAAAATGGAAAAATGAATTGCTCTAGTAATTACTAATTTGGAAGGGAAGAAGAGGAACAAGATCCTAAGTATAATATTAATAAGATATGTACTTGATCATCCAGGGAGGTGACTACACATCACAGAATAGGAAAGGACCTTATTATCTAATTCACATCCCCTCTACCTTCAGACAAAAAATAAAAATAAACGTTACCAGACGTGTTCACTACTTTAAAACATTTTTAAATTCCCTTTATCAGTGTATGCCACTTTGTATTAAAGCATGCATAAGAAAAATGTTGTCCTTTTTGCTTAACTGAGAACTCTTATTCCCATTTTAGCGGGATTTTTAGAATTCCCAAAAGGCCATACAGACCATTAAATCTTCCACATAAAGAACAAAACAAAAAACACTACAAGCGCTGTTTCTTTCCACTTTAAAAGGTTTTACTTTTCTATGTGTGGAATGCTGAGTATCCGCTTTTTTTTTTTTTGGATGTCTTTATATTTAAAAGAGAAGCCCCTAATCATTAAGGTGATCTTAAAATGTTAACACTGAAATGTGACTTTAAAAGAAAAAAAGGCATTTGGCTCATGGTTTACCTATAACCCTCCTGCTATGCTTTTCCTATTATTCTTTAACTTGAGAAGAATGATTTCTTGATTATGAAAACGCTAAAACAAACTTATACTTCTTGAATCAACATTCCAGTCTTTCCAAATAATTTCTAATTGAATTTTGTAAGTCTCCTCACCCTTCAACTTCAACCAACCTCCAAAGTAGGGGGCATCCTCTATACACTCCATCAGCCAAATAAGAAGCATTTTTTTAAAGGATAACACGTTGCTAAATAATCTCCTTACTGGATAGAGCGCAGGGCAGTCCAGTGGAGTAATGGCTCAAAAAACCCACGACTGACATATGTGTTATAAGCAAAAATACACAGACCGTATTTAAATTGAATGCACGATCAGATTATGTAATAGTATTAATAGTAGGCTGCGCAGGGTTTAGTTTTAACTCTGGCTTTAAAAACCTGGTTGTGTAACATGGTTCATTCAGCTCCATGGCTAGATACTGAATCACTAAAATCTAGATTAATTCTATACCAGCTATTAACAAGTTCAAAACATCCTGAGGCCTTCGGTTTTCCCCTGATCTGTAAAAGATACACCCATGTCCGTGTCCGTACCTTTTCTGACATTAAACGAAAATAAATACCTAGTGAGAGTAAACCCCCTCAGGGCACCACCGTGACACAAATATTAAAGATCTTTTAAAATCTTTTAAAACTAGCACCTAGGGAAGCTGTTATGTCTGGTGAAACTTCTGGTTTCTTTGGTAGAACGAACTTGCTGGGATTTCATATAAAGTAAACAAAAAAAACTTAAAAAGTAGTTGCAGTTCTTGCAACATAAATGCAGCCACAAAGTGATGTTCAGGGCATGAGTCCTGCCCTGCAATAGGACGGTGTCAACTTCAGAGCCACTTTCCAGGGGACGTTTCCTAACGCCCCCCAGCTTAGTGCCCAGGCAGGGGTCGTCCTTCTTCTTCTTCTTTTTTTTTTTTGGTTGAATTCTTATTTCCATATCAATTAGATTTGAATACATTCACCTTCTCACTCAGTATCAGAAGTGTAAGGTGTCAAAGATAAACTCAAAAAGAAAAAAAAATCTGGTACAGCTCTGCATGATTTCACTCTCTCTACTTTTCCCCACGTTACCTTCAAAAACGGAATAAATATTCAGACTCCTCCACTGCTGTACAATGATTAGTTTTAAAATTCTGTGAACTCAGTGAAGTGAATGATGACACACAGAATTATCATTACATTTTATTAGGATAGAAATTAATGACAACACAGAAACCGCAATGCTTCCGACAGTTACGTGGTAAAACGGAGTATGCTTTTTGATTTTCTAAGAGGGAGCGGCCCGCCCCTCCCCAGGCCCGAGGACGCGCCCGCGGGAGAGGGAACGGCTTCGGGAGCCAGGAGCTCGGCGAGCTGGGGACCCCCGGACGAGGAGTACAAGGGACCCGAGGTGCAGCGGGCGCCGGGAGGCAGAGCTGACCCCGAGGGCCTCGGCCTGCGCGCGGGCCTCGTCACGTGCTCGGTGGCTGCGGGGCCGTCCCGGCTGGGCGGGCTTCACCGCGTGGGCGCGGCAGTGGCCACTCACCGAGGTTGACGACCTTGAGCGCCGTGAAGAAGCGGTTCTGCCCGGCCAGGTCCTGCCAGGGCGCCTTGGAGCAGTGGTATTTGATGAAGGGGAAGCAGCCGGTGCGCAGGACGTGGTAGTTGGCGCCCTGCACCGGCCAGTTGAAGTGCGAGAGGCCGAACTGGTCGTTGCGGACGGCGCTGTAGGGCACGCAGAAGGAGGTCCAGTGCGGCAGGCGCCGCTGCAGCAGGTGCCGCGTCAGCACCTCCGAGGCGCGCGGCTTGGGGCGGGCGGCGGCGCGCGAGGCCCAGGGCCCGCACAGCAGCAGGCGGACCGCGGCCTCGTGGGCCCTCCGCAGGGCCTCCATGGCCCGCCGCGCCGGGGACGCTGGCCGTTGTCCGCGGTGGCCGCGGGGGCGTGTCTAGGGTGTCCGAGCCGCAAGCCCGCCAGCGCGCGCCCCCGGCGAGCGGAGGGAAGGCCAACGGGCGCCGCGCGGGTGCCCGAGAGCCCCTGGCGTGCGGCGGCGCGTGCGCACAGCGGTCACGCGGTCTCCCGCCGGGGGTGGGGTCTGGGGAGGTGAAGAGGGGCGTGACCTGCGCGAGGCGGAGAGACACCTGCGCGGAGAAGCTGGTTTTGAGTGACCCCCGTGTGACCTCACTTAGTCATTAGTAACTCTGGGGCGGGGGAGGAATTCGGGGAGGTCTCTTCCATTTGGGTCTGAGGAAAATTCGGGTTTTAAACAATTCAATAACTTAACCACCTTCCCGAGGGGCAGGACTCAAACCCACGTCTCCCTCACACGCCCTGGACTCCAGGGAAACCCTTGGGTGGCTTTACTGAAACACAAGGAGGCGCCCTCGGGAAAGTGAATTGACAGCCAAGACCCCAGGTCTGTGTTGCCTGGTAAGGCCAGGAGCACTTTTCTGTGTACGTCCTTGCTGTCGGGTTCACTGTTTAAAATTAGTCCCAGAGATTTAAAAATCAAAAGTTTATTTGAAAACCTCAGGTCTCGGCCGGGCGAGGTGACTCAATCCGGTATTCCCAGCACTTTGGGAGGCCGAGGCAAGCGAATCACCTGAGATGAGGAGTTCGAGAGCAGCCTGTCCAACATGGTGAAACCCCGTCTCTATCTCTACTAAAAATACAAAGTTAGCCGGGCATAGTGGCACGGGCCTGCACCTGTAGTCCCAGCTCCCCCTACTCCCCGGGAAGCTGAGGCAGGAGAATCGCTGGAACCCAGGAGACAAAGGTTGCAATAAGCCGAGATCACGCCACTGCACTCTAGCCTGGGCGACAGAGCAAGACTCTGTCTCAAAAAAACCAAAACAAAAAAACCTCACATCTCTCAGTGCAGTGTCAGGAGACACAAAGGTACTTCCCTCTAAGAACCTGGTAAATGGACCAGGAGCCTCTTATCAGTCTTTGTGGTCCTGAGTCACCCATTATCCATCTATTACTTTAGAAAAAATTTGCTCAAACTTTGTGGCCTCTTAAGGCAATAACATACAGACACACCTGTTTTTTTAAAAAAAAAACAAAAACAAAAACATTTCCAGCCAGGCGTGGTGGCTCACGCCTGTAATCCCAGCACTTTGGGAGGCAGAGGTGGGCTGATCACCTGAGGTCAAGAGTTCGAGACCAGCCTGACCAATATGGTGAAACTGAGTCTCTACTAAAAATAGAAAATTAGCTGGGCTTGGTGATGTGTGCCTGTAATCCCAGCTACTTGGAAGGCTGAGGCAGGAGAATCGCTTGAACCCAGGAGGCAGAGGCTTCAGTGGGCTAAGATCTCACCAGTGTACTCCAGCCTGGGTGACGGAGTGAGACTCCATATTTAAAAAAAAAGAAAGAAAGAAATTTCCTCTTTTGTCCTAAGCTCATCTTTTTTTTGGAGAGGTCATACATGAACAAGATGATGGGTCTGAAAGCATCTTCTGTAAATGAGGTACAGTAATAATGCATTAAGCAGCATATAACAATTCCTATTGTTGCTAAAAACTCAAGAGGAATGTAGCATAGTATGGCAAAATGTTATATTCCCCAGTTTTTATTGAACATTGAGCACTCACCAACATATGCCAAATCTTGAACTTTACCTTGTAAAATTTAAACTTGAATTTTGCCTCATAGAACAGAATTTCTTTTTTCTTTCTTTCTTTCTTTTTTTTTTTTTTTTTTTTTTTGAGACAGGGTCTCAGTGTTGTCCAGGCTGGAGTGCAGTGGCTTGATCTTGGCTCACTGCAACTTCTGCCTCCCTGGCTCAAGCGATTTTCCCACCCACTCCCAAGTAACTGGAACTACAGGAAGTACACCTGGCTACTATTTTTGGTATTTTTTTTTGTAGAGGTGGAATTTTGCCATGCTGCCCACGCTGATCTTGAACTCCTGGGCTCAAATGATCTGCCCGCCTCTGCCTCCCACAGTGGTGGGATTACAGGTGTGAGCCTCCACACCTGACCAACTTAAATTTTAAAAAACAGTGGAGTCCTTCAAACGAAATCTGTTGAAGATCCCCAACATATAAAGGTTAAAACTTATGCTTTATTACTAAACGTAAGTTCAAAAAAAATTTTTTAAAGTATTTATTTTACTTACTTTTTAGGCATGGGTTCTCGCTATGCTGCTTAAGCTGATCTAGAACTCAAGTGATTCTCACTTCAGCCTCTTAAGTCGCTGGGATTACAGGAGCCACCATGCCCAGCTATAAATCCAAAAATTTTCTATTAAATTTATAGGTAAATAAAAAAAACCAATGAAACTCGTGTGTTGTTGTCTTGGATTTTCTTTTGTTTTGAGCAGAATGGGGCTTCACTGGAAAAAAATTGGGTAGCCCAAATAATAAACAGGAAGGCTAGAGAACCAAGCTCCTAAAATGGGAAGGAACCAGGAGAGTCTGAACAGCAAAGGCATAGATAAGACCAACAGGAACTAGTCTGGCAAGCATGCCATTGTTGGCCCCATTGCCACTGGACCCTTCATCCTGTTGCTGGCAAAATGTTGAAGCTGGGAGTTGTGATTGTGAAAGCTGATCCTTTGACTTGAGTGGTTCTGATCCCTAGCTAAAACAGTGGAAAAGCCAGGGGGCAGAAAACACTCAGGACATATAACATTTCTTTAGAAATGTAATTCTCTGCAAGTCTCACTGCTGAAGCTGCCTGTTGCAACCTGAGACCAGTTTTATCTGTAACGGCTGAGATAACGTGCTGCAACTCTAGGACTAACTCTCCCCGCTGCTATCGCTCACCTAGGAGATTGCCAGCCCCGCCCCGCCCCCCCCCCCAGTGCCAGTGAACTTTCTCAAAAAGCAATATGTAACGTTTTTCCCTGTTATAAAAGCGCCAACCTTCTCTTTGCTCTTCGGACATATTGAAGACCACCTGGTCCATGCGTATATACCAAATTGCAATTTTTTCTTCCCCAAAGAAGCATTACATTTAGAGATCAATCTCTGTATTTTAACTTCAACATAGCTGCAGTTACAGCAGACTCAGTATCCGCTTTACTTCTGCATCTTCTGTTTTGGTTGTATACTATTAAGAAACTTCTGGTTTCTCCAGAGAAGTAGATACAAATAAGAGTGTTTTTTCAATGATTCACCTTGAAATCCGGGCATGTGCTTCAATTACAAAAGTGGCAGCAGGAGATTAATTATGAGATCTACACTGAAATGACTTAACCTCAAATTAATGTGTGGGCAGTTTGCAATATGTTACATTTTGGCATTATCTCTCTTTTGGCAATATAAAAAATCTTAAAAAAAAAAACCATGAAATTTGAATTAAACATGCAGGACCCCAGAAGTATGTCTCGGAAACCCTAGGTCCTGTGGCATATGAGATGAAAACCACCAATAAAGAGAACCAGATATTACATATGTTCACTGCATTTTCTCATCAAGAAGGCTTGGGAAAAGGGCTAGCAAATTGAAGGACTTCTGCTGGGAGAAGCTCTCTTGGCTAAACCTCATCAGCAGTGAGGGTCTCCCTTAATCCGAGGCTCTTTCACTATTTCCCTTTCTTTTCTAAGGTAGAAAGTTCCCCCAAAGACATCCAAAAATGGTGGGCCGCACCCCATATTTAAGAGTGTTTGAATGAAACATTCCCCTACCTAAAGATACAGAGATGGAGAAAATAACATCTCTTCTAACTTTAAGATTATGTGGTGCCACTTCCATAATTGAAATAAGATAATTTCTCAGCCGGGCGCGGTGGCTCAAGCATGTAATCCCAGCACTTTGGGAGGCCGAGGCGGGTGGATCATGAGGTCAAGAGATCGAGACCATCTTCGTCAAAATGGTGAAACCCCGTCTCTACTAAAAAAATACAAAAAATTAGCTGGGCACGGTGGCACGTGCCTGTAATCCCAGCTACTCAAGTGGCTGAGGCAGGAGAAGTGCCTGAACCCAGGAGGCGGAGGTTGCAGTGAGCCGAGATCGCGCCATTGCACTCCAGCCTGGGTAACAAGAGCGAAACTCTGTCTCAAAAAAAAAAAAGAAATAAGATAATTTCTCAAAACAACAACAAAAACCAACCCACAAATCAGATGCTTGATTTTCTTTTCAGTTCCAATTCTTCATGGCTGTAAAACAAAGAGGCCTAGGGATGTGTTTGAAGTTGGCTATCAAAAGTCTAAGTTGATGTTTTGTTTTGTTTGAGATGGAGTCTTGCTCCGTCCGTCGCCCAGGCTGGAGTGCAGTGGCGTGATCTTGGCTCACTGCAACCTCCACCTCCTGGGTTCAAGTGATTCTTATGCCTCAGCCTCCCAAGTAGCTGAGACTACAGGCTTATGCCACCATGCCCGGCTATTTTTTTGTATGTTTCGTAGAAACAGTTCACCGTGTTAGCCAGGATGGTCTCAATTTCCTGACCCCATGATCCACCCGCCTCGGCCTCCCAAAGTGCTGGGATTACAGGTGTGAGCCACTGCAACCGGCTTGAGTCGATGTTTTTTAAAACAAAGTTGTATTCTATAATTAGGAATGCATTAAATACATTTTTCCACATAGACAAATGGCATATCTCTTAAAAGGAACCCCTTAAAATGATGATAAACACCGATACTGTGTATAGCACTTCATGCGCTCCTAAAAGGGACTTAGCATTCCCTTTTTGTTTTAAAGGCATGTAGAACATTGTAGGTGCCTAGAACATGTTAAAAATGAATTTAGGCCAGGTGAGGTGGCTCACACCTGTCATTTCAACACTTTGGGAGACTGAGGCAGGCAGATCACCTGAGGTCGGGAGTTCGAGACCAGCCTGATCAACATGGAGAAACCTCGTCTCTACTAAAAATACAAAATTAGCTGGCGTGGTGGCGCATGCCTGTAATCCCAGCTAGTCAGGAGGCAGAGGCAGGAGAATCGCTTGAACCTGAGAGGTGGAGGTTGCAGTGAGCTGAGATCACACCATTGCACTCCAGCCTGGGCAACAAGAGTGAAACTCTGTCTCAAAAAAAACCCTTTTTTATAAAATCAATAAATTGGCATATATTAAAATTAAAATTTTCTATT